GAAGTACATGCAAAGGCAAAATTTTGGCGTAAATTAAACCCTGACGCATTGTTGACTTTTCTTCCGACATACTCCTTGCACAATCGTCTCTTGGAAAGTCCCTGATATGTTGTATGCATAATTTCTACAATCTTGGGTACACTCATTAGGTATGGTTTGTTAAGATGTAACTAGAAAAAATAGTTAGACCACACATTGAACAATCATATGCTCACCATTGATCATTTTTTGAGTTTCTGATCCAGGGAAAAATATCCTCTTTTCATTTATGGTTCATTATTTAATCATTCAGGAGCTCCGCTTTTAGGCTTGGCTAAACCATATTTTTTTATTATTGTTTTCTTTAAGGCACAGTCATTGATGTCAAAGGCCCCAAAAGCTGCATCAAGAGCATTTTTGCCAATAGTGAGTTGACAATCTGTACTAGTTACAAATTAGCGTGTTTACTTTGTGGGGCATGAAAATTCAGCCATGCACATTTACATAATAACTTATTAAGGCCACTGCTTAGGGCATTTCTCATTTGACCAACAAGGGCTTTGTACTGCAACATTTTTAACTTACAACTGCTACGACCAGGGAAATGTAATATATTAAAAGAAAACATTTCCCAAGCAAACCCTGCAAAAATGTCCAAAATGTTACTTCAAGTAAAGGTTTCAGAGGTTCTAGAGTTAGCTGTAGTTATCAAATGATGTCATTTGTCATTTTACCGTTCCCTCACAGCATCTTAATAATTCTTACTTTTTAGGTTTCATGTCAGACATATCTGACAAAGATTCAACAAGCAGACTTCAATATCTTTGATCCCAGTCTGAGAGAACGAAATCACTTGTTGCCATTTCTTTTGTTAAAACATGCATGGAGAGGGTTTTAACAACTTCAAATTAAGAAATAAGTGACACTATTGAGCAAGAGACATAGACACAAGATGAAAGGCTGCAGAAGACAGAAGGAAGAGGGGTATGGTTGAAGCATGTCAAATCACTGCACACAGTTTGACATCAAACCAATCATATTCAATATATGGGAGCTATAGTTTATTCACAGCTGGAAAAAAGGCTGCAAGGTCTTCAATCAATTCTTTGGAACATGAAATCACTAAGTACTGCAATAATTTTTTATTATTGTGGGTGTTGTGGAAATAGGAAGTACTTGTTTAAGATTAATCTGTAAAATCTCAAAAATTGGATGGGAGCAAGACATGATACTACTTCACTGCCATGGTTATTGGGTGCAAATGTATGGATACAGGATCGCAAGAAGTGAAGTCTAGAGAAGGATATACAGGAATATTTACTACAACAATGTCTCGCAACAATATCTGAACAGGAACTTTTTTATTATCATATTTTCACCTTTCATATCAAAAGATCTTCCTTTACCTAGTAAATTAAAATTAATGCCCAATTCTCCATGAGGAGATACTGACAGACAACTCATCCTAAGCCAATTTAAATGTTGTCATATACAACTTTTGTAGTGTGCACTGCTTGTGTCATGCAATTCATTCAAATTACAAGATTTAATGACATTTTGATTGTTGTGGGGCTTGAAACCACGTTTGAACATCCTACAACATTTTTCTTGTCACACACAACAATAATATTGTAAGCAGGTTATATGGTTGATTTACACACGACAATTTGTTCTATTGTGTACTTGGCACATGTAGGAAAGTGGTACTGTCTAACTGGACCCTGAGCAATCATTAAAGGGAGGGCTTCACTGTTCGGTGCATGTCTCTAAATCTAAATACTTTTGTTTGCTTCTTATCGGTGTTATCGCTTTAAAAACTCCATTCAGATGTAGTTCAGTAATGTGGCAGAATGACTGATGACCAAATTTCTGAGAAGATTTCAGTGGATTTTACCTATGCTGTCAACTGTTGAATTTAGTGTTGACCCGTATGATTTATTCTATGGTTCATGATTTTATGGCTGTTTGGAAATTAGGTAACTTGTTTACTATTGGTTCATAAACAATGGAAAACTGGGCTTGTGCCAAAAAGCGTGCACAGGCGAATAAATAATACAGACATGTGCCGAACCATGAAACTCTAGTCCCTTTAATACTGGTATCTCAGGCAAATTCACTTAACCTCTCAAAAAAGTACATTTAATTAACTTTGTTGTATGATTTGTGCTCAGTTCCCCTACTTTACCTGCACACAAGATGTCTACAAAGCTGTATTAGAACATAATTTCTTTGTACTAAATTGAATTTTGCTAGTCAAATATTTGCAGCTAATGAACACTGGCTATTTTTTTTAGAAAACATATTCTGTCAGTTAACACAGTCAAATTTTTCCCTGTGAGTTACATGTAACTCCTCAAATATTGAACTGGTGCATTTCTGAATTAAATCATTACATTTCACAAGCCCATTTCATTCTGGAATCTAACTAAACACAATATTTTTGTTGCTATCAAAATAGTCTAAAAAACAAGGGGGGAGCCCCATGTGAAAAGGTTACGGGTGCTTGTCAGAAAATTTGCATTAAACCCCTACAGGAGACCAGAATACGTGATTTACAACCCTAATCAAGACGACAAGCATCCTTGATATTTTCACATTGGATTCCTCCCCAAGGAAAAAACCTTATTATTGGATCTAATTTGGTACTTTTCCCTTTTGTTCTAAGCTTGTTCTACCTACCGGTAAGTTGAGATTCTGATCAGATAAATTTAATATTGTTCAGTATAACTGTTGCTATTTTAAAAGTACATTTTTCACACATACCGACTTGTAAAATCAGGTGTAAACATCAAATGGAAATAACTATTTTCCTGGCTATCTTCTGTTATGGTATTCTATTAAAATCATGCCACCTGACTGAAAGTGAGTAAAGGAAAGTATTGACCTTGTTGCTCAGTAAATAAGCTCTGACTAGTTTGACTAGACTGCGAGCAGTCTCTTTCTTTTCCTAGCCTGCAAGAAGTTACTGACTACTCATAGTCTGTAGTCTGACTAACAATATCACATGTTTGAAAAAAATTATCAGATTGCACCTTTGAATTCAGGTGGAATCACAAATACCCGCATAAAAAAATATGACAAGAATTGACTCACTCTTCACTAACAAAGAAATTTCCCAATAGGTCTTATGCGTGATTACATAACATGCTCAAAATTCACCACCAAGACTCGTTTGCACAACATTTTCTCAAACCTTTGTTGCCCTAGTGTTGTTTTCATGTGGGTAGTCTTTTCATCATTGCTGCTTTGTGAATTAGTTCGTGATAAAATTTAAAATTTGCGTTTTTAAAACCGAGGCTTGGTGGTGATTTTAACTAGTCTGATGTCATCACGCATAGGGGCTATTTAAGTGACTGGACATTGATTTTTGTAAATCAACAAGTCATATACATTTGTGCATATTTTACAGTCCATTCCCTGGCTATCCTATCAAATTCTTCTCTGTCACTGTCACATAACTGAGCAATTTCAGGTTCCATAGATATTTCACAATACGGATCTGTCAACAGTGATTGAATGCTGACCAACACCTTGGGTATTGTAAGCGCCAGACTCCAGTTGTGCCTCAGCATATCCATACCGATATCACCATGGTAACTGACATTGGGATGGAAAATTCTTGTGATGAATTTGGGAATGGGTGGCCTCATGGGGTAACTTTTAGGAATTTCCAGGTGAAGAAAGAACAAGCCCCCCTCATACGGACATTCAGGAGGACCCTTTATTGATGCTTGCCAATAGGATAAACTATTGTCTAATGGACACGCCCGGATACCCTCTGGGGGATCCATGAGCAGTCCTTTCAGTTCACTTTTTAGTCTTTTGTTCCTCCATGTGTTAACAAGGTTGTCTTCAGGAGAATGCTGCAAAGAAATCAATGTGATTTTAGTAAATTTAGTTGAGGGAGTCCAATGTTAAATTTGATGCAAAAGAAAAGCAGTATTGCAGGAGTTGGTATATTTAACTTGAATGTCACAGTATAAAATGCGAAGAAGTTCTAGTGAGCTGGTCCATTCATATAAACCACCCTTTTTAATAACATTTTTGAATAATATACCTACAATTTTGTTTGGTACTAAACATCTGTTAACTAGATGTCCCTGTTAAACTTCAAAGTGACTGTATACCTGTAATTCCTAATAAACACAAACTTACAGTACAGCCCAAAAATAAATCACATGCAAGAAGTTCTTGCACCGCAAGAACATGCAAGCCACTGCAAGAAGTAAAATTGTTGTGTTTTTGCGGTTTACCCGCAAGAACATTCGAAACGCAACAAGTTGAAAGTCCAACTGCAAGAAGGCGCAAGAAGTTGAAAATCTAACCGCAAGAAGCCGCAAGAAGGCAAGAAGTTGCTGCAGTGCCATGTTGTACTGTAGTGTGCATGCATCAGTATGTAGGTGTTTTTTGTTTCCTAAGTAAGATATACTGTCAAGGTTTACAACTGTACTTACTTGAACACATCCTTGTTCAAAACACCTTCTGCAGGTGACACCTTCTAACCTAGTAGATTGTTACAAACAGAATGAGCTTGTCAACAAATTATTTGGTATCACAACCCAGTGCACATGCAACCCATTAAAACAGTCACTTCATGGCTTCAGTACCCTTATTTAGTAATTTCTAATAAAACTACATTTCGTTTTAGGTTCCCAAGACTGAACAAAATTAATGTACTTGGGTTTTCACTTTTCAAAGTCAAGCTTATGATAGTGTCCCTTTAACAAGGAAATAAACATGAAAAAAGTTTTCTTCTACTACGCCCCACAAATAAAACACATTGTAAAAGAATACTACCCGTGATAAATTAACTCTGATCACTTACATCTTTATGTAGAGTTTCTGCCATGATTTGATAGAATTGTCTGGTGTAAACAAAGGCCATCTGGCAAGTACATGCTTCTTCCACTCGTCACTTTCGCCTGCTAATTCGTGCCACCACTGACAAACTTGCCCCACCATACACAGTGATATATCATCCAAAAAGGAAAATATCATGAGGAGTACTGGAACAAAAATAACTTCAGTTAACAAGTCTGAACATAATGATACATCGATCACCAACCAAAAAGGAACTTGTTGAAGATAAAACTCTTAGCATTTGATGTTTCACTTTAGCTTGGCAACAATATTCTACACTACAGCATAAAATGGCCCCATCACATCATCTGAAAGCCACCAACCTCATTACAAATCATTGCTAATCAGTGTGAACCATCATCAGAGACCCAAGGGCAGTTAGATTATGTTCACACTTGGTGGCCAAGTGCGGTGCCACTCTTTCCAACTTTGCAGCTTTCTAAGAATAGGTTGACCACGAAGATTCACAAGGCAAAAAGCATGCCTAATTGACATAAACCAAATACGGGAGTCACATGTGGTATGGGGTTGCAGAGATGACAAGGCTTGATGCAGGCTCAATTCGGTCTTGCTTAGTGGCATTAACTTATTACTTATTTTATTCTAAAATGTCAAGTAATTCTCAAACTGTTTTTTCCACTGATGCTCCCACCCTTACCCCTCTGCCAACTAACTGAAAACCTGGAACAGGTTACATAAATCCTCATTAACCAGTATATGCCAAATGGTAGCACAGTAAGTAGGTCATATAAAAATAACAAAGACCAATAGTTTGTCGGCATTATTTTTTACGCAGTTAGTGTAAAACACAGACCTGGGGTAAAATGCAGACAGAGGGTAAAATGTAGACTACAGTTTTTTTAACTGAAGCATGCTACCATTTCTATCATTGAGAGCTAACTGTAACCAGGCTAAATGAAGCATTATTTGGGGCCAATCTACACGGTACGACTTTGACGCATGCAACAAGCTTACGACAGGCCTACAGACAGCATGGCTAAAGACCATTTACACACGCACGACATTTTCAGTTACAAAATTAAATATGCAAAAGTTTGCACCGGGATTTACACAGTGAAAGTTCTAACAAACGATAAACAAATATTTTAGCTGTCCTGGCCGTCCTGAAAAAACTTTCTTACAAGATGTTTTTCGTTTTAATCCATTCAGTACTTTTCGAGAAACGACTTCATGTGATTCAGTCAACAACTTCGTCCACCATTTTAGTGCAAGAAAACTTCTCCTTCATCCCCCACTCAGTAGAAATTTGTCACAAAATACGTCATTTTCTATCGATTTCAGCTACAATTGTCGCAGCATTTTAAAACATGTTTTGAAATTCTACGACAATTTTTTGACATACACAACAGTCGTAAGCGAGTTGTAGGTTTGATTTACACAAAGCAATTCATGTCGGACGCCTGTCGTAAACTTGTTACATGCGACAAAGTCGTATCGTGTAAATCGGCCCTTAGGTTAGCCTGAATGATATTCAGACTAACCGGAGTGATCTTCAGTATAACTGGAGTGTTATCCAGGCTAACCAGAGTGCAGTCTTTCAATTACAATTAGCCTGAATAATCCTGTTTTAATACGGTGAGCACTCGATAATAACCCGATATTAAAAAGTCTGCAGTCTGCATTTTACCCTCAGTCTGAATTTTACCCTCGGTCTGCAGTCGTCTGGTCCTCAGTCTGCATAATTTTAACACTGACCGATTTTTAAAGTTACTCACTTTCTGGAGGTAATGTCCCAAACAAATCTTCTTCGACGAAATTTAGCTCATTTGCGAGCCGTTTAGCTATGCAGTTCGGTGATCTGACCCGTTCATAAAGTGATAAATACGGAAGTTTGAATCTTGACATTGAAGTGGAGTCAAGCCGGTCAGCAGGATCGTTTGCCGAAGTAGTTTCACTTTCACTCTCACAACCGCTATCTTCTGATTCTGGAACACCTCCACAGTAAACAACACTTTCTTTGCTCTCAGACACGGTACATTCTGACGATGTAGTTTCTCCGGACGTTGCAAAATCCATGCTTTCGGTTTCTCTTTCGCAAACAAGCAACACATTCGGGTACAAAAAGTCGTGGCATATCGCGCAGTATGGTCCGAATTCTGGGCTATCATGTTCAAGTCCACACATCAAACACGTCTCACGCGAAAGTTCGAAGTTAAAAACCTTTTTACAGCCTTCATCGGCTTTGTTGGCAGCTTCATCACGCTGTTCTGCAGAGACAGACGAAGCTTGCTCAAGCATACAACTTCCACTGTTGTGGTCCGCCATATTGTTTCGAATGAGAAACAGAGCGGAGGAGAAATGGGAGCTGGGGCTAAGGGATTTGGGGTTTCGGGGAAATTTGTATTTTTCTTGAGCAACAGTTCCTTTTTCCGGGTTTCAATTTTACTTTACAAAAAAAAAAACTACAGGTTAAAATAAGTTTTATCAGTACAACAGAAAAACAAAAGTATATTACTGGGAGTAACGTTAACATATAAACTAGTCATAATACTAGCAATAATGATAAATATTGCATAAAACGTACAACAGTTTTTAAAGACATGTTTCGGCATGCTTATGCCATATTCAGTTTAATAGAGTGACTAATGATACGTGACACAAGTTATATACTACAAAATATGAATAAATTATTTACAATAT